ACTGAGTTTCGATTAATATCCTGAGATTACATTGTTAGAGGGACTTTTATTTCGTATAAAAGTGCATGATGAAGAGATTCGTTGGTTGATCTCACCAGAAGAGGACGGTTGAAAGCCGCTTGGCTTTTATACGATGTTCAGGTTGACGCAGTCCACGAGACCTCCTCCCTCGTTTCAGGTGAAAACGGTCTGAGCTTTCGTCCATCATATGATGGAAATCATCAGAGCTGAGTCTCATTCCTGTAAAGGTCTCACGTTAACACTAGGGCAAGAAAACTATCCGGATCTATCTTATATAGACTCAATTAAGCAAATTAAAGATAATTAGCCAAACCATTATATGTCTATCTTGTTTTGTTTTTTTTTATTTTGCTGAATCTAATCTATATAAGAGGTAAAATTGAGCAGGATAGTCTCCATGCCCTAGTGTTGACGTGAGACTTTTACATGAATGAGTTCCAGCTCTGATGATTTCCATCATATGATGGAGTAAAACTCAGCCCGTTTTCACCTGACACGAGGGAGGAGGTCTCGTAGACTACGCTAACCTGAACGTCGTATAAAAGGCAAATGGCTGTAGTACAACGGGATTCATCCTTCCTCTTCTGGTGAGATCGACCTACGAATCTATTCTTTTTGTAATTTCATACGCAATGGAAGTTCCCCCAATAAATTCTTGGACTTCTACGGGATCGCCGCTCTCACCTCTTTTGGTACACATATTTATGAACAAATTAGAACGGGACTTAAAGATGCTACTTCAGCAACCAGGGGTGCTCATGTGGTACCTAGATGATTAATTTGGTCGCATGGAATAAAAAAACTGCACGTTTTTCTCAAGCTTATAAGCCAGATTGATGAAAGTATCAAATTAACAATGGAAGTAGGGGAATAGAAGCGGTCACCTGGATATTAGAGTCATTCGCTCCAATCGGAAGCTAAAGAGGAAATACTTCAGAAAGAAGTCATATACCGAAATAATACTCAATTTCCAATCTCAACACAACTACAGGTTAAAAATAGGAATAGTGAGGAACATAATAATCAGAAGATTACGATTAACTGACGTGGAATTCTGGGATGAATTGGACAAATTGATTCGAATATTCCCCCGAAGCGAATAGCCGAGAAAAGTAATCAGAAGAAACATACGAGCCGTGCAAAGTAAAAGGCAGAACGAGAATTACGAAAGAAAGGTAAGAATGAATAAAGACTCACAAGAGTGGATATGCCTATCTTCGTGTGGACTAAATAAAAAAAATTACGGTCAATACTAATAAAATAGAAAGTTAATGTGACCACGAAGGACAAAACAATATTCTTCACAAGTCCACCTATGCAAAATAAGAGGGTGGAGAAAGAGATTGGTCGAAAGTTTACTGCATAGCATGCGGCTTCTGAGAATACAAATATATTGTTGAAAAAGGGAGAAAAATCAGCATACGAATGAAGGAACACCAAAGATTGTATGGAAATGGACACAGAAAGATCAGAAATAGCGAAACACATCGAACAGACTGGCCATGAGATCAATTAGAAGGCAACTAAATAAATGGCCTTATACGGTGAAAATACAAGGAAACGGTTGATTATGAAGGTCAATGACATCCTTGTGAAAAAAAATTAATTTACGGGTAAGGCAGAGTTAGAGATAACTTTGTATATTGCTTCAGCAAACTCGAAGAAAACAAGGATACCGTAAGACCAGCAAAAGATAGGCACTTGGATCAAGGGCCTATAGTTTTTTTCAAATAAATACGGATGGCAAGGAAGAAGCGGATAATGAACTTTCAGAGATCATGAGAAGACGTTTTTAGTGAGTGTAGTCTGTTCGAAGCAACAACTATAACCTTGGGGGCCTGGCGGTTACAGAACTTGTGAGACGGATAAGCACAACCCTCACAGGAATCCTGCACACGGGTTAAATCAGGATGAGCCATAGAGGCAATGCCTGATATCGGCAAGCATGGGAATCATAGTCTAGATGCTCTGTTCAGTGAGACGACAATGTATGTGCTACGGGAGGCTAGAGAAATAGCGCCTGCAGTGAAATATATACTTAGACTGAGACCTTGTCTCAGCTAACAAGAAAGGTAGGAAAATGATTAACGGGCCCATTAGGGAGATCTGGATAGGAGGCCCAGGTCAGTTCAGCAAATCGATATGGAGGGGAGGCAAGGTAAACAACAAATGGGATGACGACACACTAAACTCGCCAAAAAGGGCACCTTTTAAGGGTTGGAATATAAACAAGTCAGATGTGATAGAGCAGGAGTGAGATAAGAAGCTAAAGAGTAGATAGATGTACTAAGAGAGAAATAGTGGTGATGACACAACTTTTTGACATAAAGCTGGTTCAGGAGTTGATATCACTTGTCTCTATGATGGGTTATAGTTTGGTATTGAGACTGGTGAGACTCATTGATGATGCTGGCAATTATGCTAACGATTATAGCAGACGACTTCGGACAAGATGCGTTCAGTTATGTCGCCCTGGTAACACTACCAAGTTGCGAAAACGAAGCCTGACCACTTTTGGGTTATTCTAGGACTGATTAGGTATAATTGTTAATCTTACTTGAATTTCGACTAAAGTGTTTGCTGAAGAGCTTCAAAGGTCGATCATACTAGAATATAACTGTGAAATACCCTTCACCAGTTGTCGATTGGCCTTGCTGGAACATTCTTGTTTACGTTGTTTCAGATGTAATCTCCCGCGATCCATGAAGAACGCGTTAATATATACGAAGAAAATTCGGGTTTCGAAGAATCTCCTATGATAAGTTTGTTGTGAAGACTTTCATTTCGCATGGAAGTGCTTGATGAAGAGATTCTTATCAGAAGTCGCCGGCTGATTCGCGTTGTAGTGCAGCCGTTTCACATTATTACGACGTTCAGTTTGATGGCGTCTACGAGACATTCTCCAATGTTTTTGGCCAAGACGAACCGAGCTTTCGTCCTTCGTATGACGTCAGTACTAGGACTCATTCTTGTAAAGGCTTATAGTTTGCACTATGTCAAGAAGACTAACCGGCTTTTTCTATATAACATATAAACTCATTGCGAGACAATTTTATCATATAGATGGATATAGAAAGTTTTGGTTAATTCCCTTTTATCCTAGTGTATCGGTGTATGTATGTATGTATCTTAACGTCTGTACACGAAATCGGCCATGTCTCAGAATAATTAAAAAAAGCTTTACATCAACTTCGGGTCATCAAGGCCTAATGACCCAAGGAAAAAAGCGTGATCAATATTTCGTTAGTCCGTAAGTAACAATGGTTGAATTGATTATATATAAGCCTATATGTGTGAAAGTCAGGTTACTAAACCACCAGTCTGAACCCATTAGTCTGGGTTATTAAGGTTTGATGATGCAAGGATAAGCATTGCTTGGATCGATTAGTCCTGCATGTCTGTTTTCGTCGATGAGCTTGACATGCTTCTTGAACGAGTGTGAATTTTGTTAGAACCATCACTCAGCTGACAAGTTGAGTCACCTTATTTTGGACGGTGGCTCAACACCCTCTTTCTTTCAATCTTTTAATCATGCATAAATAATTCTTACTCAACTTTTTACCACCATTCCTCAAATTCAACTTATTTCCTAATCTATTAATTTCCATAGCCTCTCTTATCTTGCGTTTCGTAGCAGACTTCCTATTATCAGCAAACCTCTGCGTTCAAGACTTCTCATGTTCTGTCTCTGCTGTGTGTTCAGCCACTTTGACCGTTTTACCCAGCTGCCCTTACAGGCATTTTTGTGCTCCGGGAATATTTTTGGTTCGCCTGACAGGTATCACTAACATAAGGTCGACCACAGGAGAACATAACAGCCAATCTTGATAATGGGTCATATTTCTCTTTAAAAGAAGGCATAATCGTAGAAAGTATCAGAGTTTTTATGAGAATTGTCTTTATCCCCACTTCCTCATTAGCTCAATGTCATTTAAGTGCACAAACGTTCTCCTTAGATACCTTGGCCTACCCATAACTACCATTACTCCACTCTTGTTGGCTTTCATAACAATTAGATTATTAGATACTAAATGTCTAGATACCTTGCTCAAAGTAAAGGATTTATTTGGTGTAATTACCTGGTCAGAGTAATGAATTGCCCCCAGCTATATACTATTATTAACATGTTTAAGTACTCTATTTGATATTCTAACTAGCCCATCTAGTATTTTCGGAAAATGGTTTACTTTACTCGGTGGGGCAAAATTTAATCCTCTTGCCAGTAGAAGTTTCACACTATCCTTCGGCTCTGTACTGGATAAATAAATTATCTTATTTTTGAAAAATTTGTTAGACATATCCTTATTAATTTTTGTCTTAGATACAAGGTTCCTCGAATGGATTATACTACCCAAGTTTATTAGCTTCTTATCATAAACCCTCCTAGTGATCTTATAGATAGCTGCATTTAAACGGTCAGCCATGTTTTGTAACTTAAAAAATTCTTCCTCATTTAGAATCTGAGAAAGAGTTTTTCTTAGTCAGGTTTTGGTTCTAATCAGATCGTGTAACCTGGTAATTTTTAAGCGTGGTTTTAACCAAACCATTAAATACCTCATCCAGTTGCTTATTAGTAGAAATGGGTAAATCATTACACCTACCAAGGAAACAACATTTAGGAACTACATTGTTAGAAATACAATTTTTTACAAATATAATTATATTTACTTGCAGGGATATAGTCCTCTCAGGTTTTACTGTAGGGAAAATAAAGATGGGAAAAATTTTGACCATAAGTATGTCGTATCAATTCCGTTCCCTTTAATTGTTTCCAATAAGTTGCAATTTTTATAACTTTACGACCGCAGCAAATTAATATTTTAGAAAAGCTGACTTGACAATTTTTGTCCTAACAATTTAATAAGATTTTCTGCATCGTTGAGTACACCTTATTCATCATTTTTTATTCCTCTCATTCTTTTACATAATGCTTTTCACCTATACCTCTTCTTTCTAATTATTTTCCTTAGATCATCAATATGGAGCTTCTTGACTTGTCTGCTTCATCAGAAGGCTCTGACACTCATATTGACGCGGCCTCCATAACTTTATCGGAAGCTTTAAGCCTTACGGATGCCAAGCCAGTCTCAGCCTCCCTGGACAGAGTTCTCTCGCTAAAGTTGGCAAAATGTGCTCCGGACACAGAGGATCCAGTTG